GGCATCGATATGACCGAATAACTGAGCGCGAATGAATTAGTTTTCAAAGCCATAAGTTGCAGGGACTGGTCTAAACACAACGCCATCGTACTGTTACAAAGGTAGTGGTTTAGAGGAAAAACACGTTGAAGGTCTCGGCGTATTGTCAAAGTGGAATCTTCGGTCAACTAGACGGTTGCAGAACAAAATCCTGTTGATAGGTGTCAGCGGCATATCTGTCGTGACAAACACAAACGTGTATGGTGGTCGTACCTAATTGCTCGCATCAATTATTACCGTGTTTTTGTATTTAATTTTATATAAGCGTCACCCCATTATCAATGTGTACCTAACAGGATTAGAATAAGGACTTGAATATTCCTCGACAATACCAGCTTTTCAAAGTTCCTCTGTCTGTTTTTCGATTTCATTACGCTCTACGCGGTTNCTGTTTTTCGATTTCATTCCGCTCTACGCGGTTTAACTAAATATTAAGTAAATTTATTATTTTATTACTTGATAACTGAAATTCCTTCGGAGCAATTTTACACGAGCCTAAATCATATTTATATTTAGAAAAAATTGTACTCTATTTCATTAATAATCCTCTAAGTTTATTTTGCTGATCAATAGGTAACGCTGGTTTAATGTCCTAGTCTAGTACGTTTTCAGATGTAGTAACAGTAAGAGATAAATAAATATTACTTTTAAAGTTTTCTGAGAATTGAGTCGTGTTCGTGTGAGAATCATTGTTAATGTTTTTTGCAACGGCTTGTTATCGCTGCGTGTTTTGAATTTGTTCAAGTTCAGATGTCAGAGAGATAGTATAAAACACGTTTAATTATTCTATTTTGCATAATATTTCTTTTAACGGACAAAGTATTAATTTCGTTAATTTGAATAATACTATGAAATGTGCGAACTAATTTAGTATTTGGATTGTCAACGAAGGGTGTTCAATGCAATTTGAAAACAAAACCATTACAAACGATATAGTTTAATATAGAATTAATATTATTCTTTTATGATGTAATTATTAAGCCTAAACCAAAATGATTTGTGATGGCTACAAAGTTTTCACTTTTTAAAGGAATGAACAAAAAAAGTTCAAACATTGCAAATAATTATGGGGGATTACTACACCCTAACCACCCTCCTGGTAGCACCACACAGCCTAATGTTTCAAATAAATAAAAATTAGTAGCTATAAAAAAACAAATATAATCTTTTCTATCAGCCCTAACGCTAATGAAATAAAAGTATAATAATAAAATACCACCCCGTTTCAAAATCATTTTTTTCTTTAGACAATATAATAATATAACAATTCATACAGATGAATGCCTAATATTTTTTAATTTCCTAAGCATTTATAACTATACATTTATTATTTAAGACTGTTTTTAGTTTCGATACTTCACACCGACCGACATATGCTACACCTGTGTTAAAATGTCACTTTTTGAGGCAATTTCATAACACCCATCTATACAAGATTAATTGAATAATAGTCATGAGTTTGATAGATTTTAAGTTGTCAAATTTGTTTGTTTTGACTATCATGATATTGTTATTATAAAAAAATTTTATATTTAATCTTTCATCGTTTTAAAAACAGGAATTTTAGCCTCTCAGGTGTAAATTGTCGCTCTATATATATTTTTTTTAAATCTGCTTGTACTTGCTCCTGTATCAACGACGAAAGTTATATTTCTTTTAATTACTTTGCCAATTATCAGTGGAAAATTGATAATTTTAATTTTATTTATGGATTGAGTGTTTAATTCCTATATAGTTAATCTATCATTAATATTGATTTTTTCATTAATTAAAGGTAGATCAATTATTTTCACATTTCATTAATTAAAATTTTGCGCGCTGTTATATACTGATGGTGGTTGATGAGAAACATTGTAAAAAATAGAAGGTGGAACGAAATGTCGAATGACTAACTGATGGGGTGGATTCTCTAAATTAGGATTATTTTAAAGATAATGTGGTGATTTTTGTATACAACCGTAGTGAACATGACGATTATTATGATAGAAATATCTAGTCATGTTGTTAAATATATAAAAATTTCCTCTATAATTTTTATTGTTATAGTTCTTATTATATTATTTCTAAAATTGTTATTAAATTTGTTTTTTTTATATTTATTAGTTCTATAACTCATTACTCTACGTTGATTATGGTTTGGATATGTCATTAAACTTTAGTTATCTACATTTCCATTCGTTATCATTATTTCCATAATCATTAAATGTACCATTATGTTTCTAAAGAGAATCTATTTCCATTTTCAAGATTTCTAAATCACTATCATATTATTTCAAATTTTTATTTCTTTAAATCTTCAAATATTTTCTATTAATTTTTCTAATGTACTATTATCTAATGATTTAAATGTATTAATTATTTCTTCTGGTAGTCTCTTAAAAAATGTTCTATGATATGTTATTCCGACATAATAACTTTAAACCTAGTACATTCTGCTACTACCCTTACTAAACATTTTTTAATAGACTCACTATCAGACATTTTAATCATTATTAAATTTTTTCTGACTAAATTTAGATTAATGTAAGAGTTAAAATTAATTAATGACAGTTTAACATTTTCCCAAATTAAATTTGTCGATCGATATTCTATAAATTCAAATATTTTAAGTGCATGATCCTGTAAGCATAATGGTAACATAGAAAGTTTTTAATAATCATCCCATTCATTCGCTTTCGCTACGCGATCGAAATACTGAGGATATTTATCAATAACCGTTTTCACATCTCCCGAATAAGTTAACGGTTAAATAAAATTTGGCATATTTCTATAAATTATACACTTATGAACAAACCCGAAATGATAAAAGTTATTATTACGCCGAAACTGCATATGATATTCCAAAAAAAAGTTATTATATTAATTAATAATTTTACTTAAATAATCTGACTGTAACTCGTGTACACTTTAGAGGAATCGTCTGAATGAGTGTCTTAAAAAGATAGAAAGTATGTTTCATAATTCGATTAAAATACAAAGACCGGCACCTCTACCATATGTTAGGGGTTTGTTTAATACTTCAGGATCTTGGTTAAAACCAAGAATCGGAAGCTACCCGACGTTTGCCCAAATATTGTCCCTGTCTCCTTATTTACAAGATAAAGATTATATAATAAAAATAAACTATTGTTTTATGTCAACAACAAAGTAAAGTTATATTTTAGATGTTTAGTAAATATATGTTATCTGTAATAGGCAACACATCTGAGCTGAGTCCTAGTACAGTTGGTTAGTAAGTATATACAAATCAAACGAAGTTGGTTGGCTATGATAGCCATAGTAGCTCCGGACTACAGACGAGTAGAATTGTCACATCAGCCTTTCCCTCTATGTTAATTAATATGTATAACGAAACAAGTAAATGGTAATGAAACGTGTATAATATAAGTCGTAAGAACATAGTAATAAATGTTCTTACAGTACAAAATGTGACATGCTGCTTATAGAATTATTAGACAATCTTATTTTTTCTTATGCGAATTTTTATGATTATAAGTTATTCAAAATTCATTAATTTAATTGCAATTAAATAGTATTATAAAATCATATATTAGTATCATAGCTCATATATTAAAAGTGATACACTAATTTCACAATAATTGAATCTCATAATATGAGATAAGACTGTTAAAAATTACTATTATAAAAGTGAGGTCGTGCACAGTGGGAAAATGGCATATTTGGTATAAATATAAATGATATCTGATAGTGATTAAAATCACTTTAATAAAAAACAGTTCCAAAAAAATTTGTAGATAGTGTTGAAATTTCAAAAATTAGTGGATTATTCCAAAAGCAACATCAACTTTTATTTTATTAATTATAACCTGATTGATGTTGTTTGAACTATAAGTAGAACGATTTATTAAATTTTTTTAATTTAACTTTGATGTTCGTTTTAACCACAAAAACAAGTCTAGGGGTATTTTTTTTTAATATTGTATATTATAGAAGCTTTAATTTGAGGTAAATGTGTCGAAAAATGTTTTGAATAATAGGAGTAACGACTATTTTCTCATATCTTGAGTTGAATCATTTAACTATTAATACAACAAAGAAGTAAATAAGAAACATTACCAATAAAATAAATCAAAATAAATGATTTACTTCTTTATTTTTTAGCTAAGTAGAATAGCTGAACAAATGTGCAAAAAACATGTGGTTTCGTAAATTAATAAAAATCAAAAATAATGTCATAACTATATTTTTAGTTAAATAGATAATTTATTATAACTATTTATTAAGAAATTTAGCAGTAATTTAAAAAAATCAACTGCAAAACGTAAGGCTTATTAATTTATAGACATAAATTTCAGTGATAACTGAAACAATGAAATCAAGGAATACTAGTATTTTTAGTACAATGATGACAATAAAATAATTATATATGTAGCGACCAAAACATACGCAACGAATATTCTCGAATGTTCTCGTTATCAAAAACCTTCGAGAAACTTCGATAACGCCATAAGATAACCTACGCGGGTATAGAATATTCTAGAATTAGCGAGAGCCTTATCGGAGCTATATATATATCGGAAGAATCAGTCAGTTCAGTTAGTTCAGTTCAGACTGTCTAGTCCGCGATACGCTACACGACCGCTACACTCCGCCGCTGTTGTCATCGTGTATTATGTTTACTTCGATTATTTTATTTTTCCTTACTGTATATACATATATTTTCTTTTAGTGTTTATACGTCTATTTACGTGTTATAATTTTGTTTAATAAAGTCTACCGCCATTTAAATAATTGTGTGTTGTAAGATATAACCCACATATAGAACTGGTTTCTACGCCTTCATCAATAAATAAAATATTTACTTAGTTTTAAATAAGAATTATTATATATTAAAAATAAAATAAAATTTATTAAACGCTTTTATTTGTAGTTTAAAGATACTTAATAATGACGTTTTTTTAACACTAAATCAACATAGTATTGTTATAAAATAAATAATATTTCAATTAATCCATCATTTCAACTGTTTAAATTATCAGTTTTATTCGAAAACGACGATTTATTAATCCAATTATGTATTTCAATATTTTCATCGTGATGTATCTAACTAGAAGTCTTTCAAACGCAATTCTTTTCGAATTTCCACCTTTGGACGAGGTAAAATGATATTATTTATTTTAAAATAAAAGTAAATTGTTAATGTTTTCTAATTAGAAAATTCATGTTGGGGAATAACTAAGTTTTTCTTAAGATGTAGATTATTTTTTATTTTATCTTATAATAGATATAGCATTTTAAATAATACATCGTAGGACAGTGTAGCCGGGTCGGAAACGCGGCAGTACTTGACGCACAATGTCTCAGGTTCGAAACTCTGTCACGGGCGGCTTCATCAATTGAACGAGAGATCAGTTCCGTACTTTGAAGTTGCCATCCCAAACTTTTGTGATGGACTACGGGTGGTTAGTCCATCACCGGAGTATAAAATGGTTAAGAAACCTCCTCCTTTGGGGGAGGCCACTATGGCCCTTAATGGGTTAACAAAATCGTAAAAAAAAAAGATAAAACACTTTAATTCACATTTGATTTTAGAATAAAAAAAATTGCGATTGTTTTGCTCGGGAATCAAAATCATATAAAAATAGTTAGTAATTAGATAATTAAAATTTAGATCATATTGTAATTTAAACTATGGTAACCACCATATCAAAAGAATAAAAATATTAGCGAATTTTATTATTATTTTAACAAAATAGGGGCGCTTTTCATTTAAATGAGAATTTTTCCAAAACTGATTTCAGTTCATTTCTTTTTGACTTAACTATTCTTATAAAAAAAAAACGGTAGCACAGTGGTGTCGCAGCATAGTGTGGACGTGGCATAGTTGAGACAAATATAGATAATTTTTATCAGAGACCAGAATATAATTTTTTAAACCTTTTTGCGCCGATTTAAAATTTGCTATTAGATTTTTTCTATCGCATATTTTTGAGATTATAACTATTTAGTAAAAAGCAAGTACTTAAATATAAAAAAAAAAATAATTAAAAACAAATAAAAATTTTTGTAAGTTTATGTGAAAAGCTCAATATTTCGTAAGAATCACTATATTTTTTGTATTTTTATCATTATAATAGAAATCATAGTAATCATTTATAAATAACTTTTATTGTAAAAAAAGACTCTATAATTGAATTATTCAGAACTTAATGAATTTTAATGATTTTATTTAAGTAAATAACCAATCAAAAAGTTGTTAAAAAAGTCAACTCAATTAAGCGTATCATAAAAATTGGTAGTAATTGTAAAAATTCATTGATAAGTCCAGGAGAATGTAAAAATCAATTTTTTTGACATGTTACAAAAAAATTTGGAATATTATAGACTGGTAGTAACACACACAAATAGAGTTAAAAAAATATAAAATTACAAAGAATAATTATTTAATTTTGTTATTGAAATCTATTAACATATCAAAAAAAGCCGACAATAAATTGTTTAAAAATATTAGTAATGAATTATTTTAATTGTATGTATAGAAAAAGCTGGTTAAGCAACTTTTTATTTTATAACATTATTTCAATTTATGAGGGTAATATCTTTAACTAGATACTATTTGTGATCATTTGACGTATCGTTGTAAAAATAAGTCAAGTGAGAGTTGAAAAAAATGAATGACAAATACAAAAAAAAAAAAACTTAGTAAAATAATTTTCTTATAAATAAAAAATTTCTTCTCACAAGGGTTAAAAAATGTTAAAAATTACTGATTTTTAAAATTGTAATTTTTGAGTGATGGAGGATTTACGGGAATGTGGGAATTTTCAATATTTGAGGCTAATGTCTTAGACTAGATATAATTTGTGGAAGGTAAGTGCCCCATTAAAGCCCCCTATTATTTACAAAAAAATTAAAATGTATGATATTTATGTTTTAATTATAAATATTTTATTTTATTAAATATATTCCTATAAAAATTACAATATTAAATTATTGAATGTCAATATCATACTAAATTTAATTACTATACTAATTATTTATTTATGTAATTTTACTATAAATCATAAAAGTTTTATCAGGGTATACTTAAAGAAATAAGAGTTGATTTTCTTTTGGAATAATCTAACAATTCCATATAAAAATTAAACACTATCTGCAAAATTGTATGGATGCGTTTTTTATGAAAATGATTTTAATCAGTGTTTAAAACTATTTTATCTAAAAATTTAAATTCATATTATGATTAATTCTAAATTTATATAAAACAATTATAAGACTTTTATTTATTTATTTTAGGACTCGTTATTAACTAATTTAGCATCGAAACGTTCGAAAATGTTGTTTAAACATAATACATATAATGATAAAGGTATGGACTTGGAAAGTTTTAAATACCTATGGACTCTTTTTGAACCGATACATAAGTTGCAAGATAGAGACATTGAAAATTTATTCATTGAAGTAGTTAATAATAGTAAGTAAAACTGTAATTATGATAATAAAGCTAAATTTTATTTTCAACAAGTATTATTATAACTGATAAATTTAATAAACATGCAAATATTTTAGTTGTATCGATTAAGGTAATGGGTACAACAAAATTTTGGTTTGAGGCAGTAGTTAAAGTGAAAAAAACTAGAAAAGGGAACTATAGTTCCTAAAAAATTATGACGTTCCCGAAAAACACCGAATTTTCTGACGTCAAAGGCTAAAAATAATATTGATCATATTAATTATAAAATTATTTATTGATCATAAAATTAATTGATATACTTATATTTATATTATAAGGTATGCCCTATGACGTCACGGCTAAACTTTGTGCTAACATAAGTACTATGATGCTTTTGACGATCGTTCGAACGCGCTCTACGACGTCATACCTAAACTTTGATATAAGGTGAGCCCTATGACGTTATATGACGTAGGCAATGACGCTGTCATGTACGATCCTACACAGTAGTACAACGTTGGGCGGCGGTTCACTGACAGATCGAATGCGCCTTAATTCCATCGTCGACCCTACAGCCGACAACTCAATGTCGGGTTGATCTAAAAAAAAAAAGTAAATTTTCCAGAGTACCTACACGCAAACGGTTAAACACACACACACACACAGGATCAATGCTGTAAACATCAAACTACCTTGTAGTAATGCTGTGAGATATTGCGCTTACGCGTTATGCACGTGTTCGGTGGTTTTTTTTTTATCAAACACAACGACTGTCGGAATTTCTGGAATATGTAGTGGAATCGCATAGAAGGGGTATTCATTACTTACGTAATATCGACTTAAACTTAAACGACAGCGTCGTGGGTGAATTGGCACGCCGGTATATAGGGCTGTGACATATCAAACGCGCGGACTCAACGCGTACTCTACACACGTTTAACCGTTTGCATGTAGGTACTCTGGAAATTTTACTTTTTTTTTTTTAGATCAACCCGACATTGAGTTGTCGGCTGTAGGGTCGACGATGGAATTAAGGCGCGTTCGATCTGTCAGTGAACCGCCGCCCAACGTTGTAGTACTGTATAGGATCGTACATGACAGCGTCATTACCTACGGCACAATCATAACGTCATAGGGCTCACCTTATTATAGCGTAGAGTAAAGGCATGATGTCAAAGAGCTTACCTTATATCAAAGTTTAGGTATGACGTCGTACAGCGTGTTCGAACGATGTCAAAAGCATTATAGAGCTTATGTTAGCACAGAATTTAGCCGTGACGTCATAAAGCATACCTTATATGAAAGTTTGGGTGTGACGTCAGATATAGCACGAAATAGGGCTTATATTTATAGAGATATGTAGAAATATATTCTACCCGAAAATGCCCAGATCCAAAGAATATTCTTCATGTATTTTGAATGATATAAAAAAATATACTAACAAAATTTTTTAGACATTTACGAACATGCCTTGAAGGTAGTCCGATAAAACCAACTTAAATTAATGGATGTCATTTTAAAACCTTAACTTTTTTCTTAAAAGTAATATCTGGATTAGAATGTTCACTTATCTATCTATTTTTAATTTAAGGTTGGTATTTTTAATTAATTTTTTCTTTGAGATATTCAACAGACAAATTTGAAACATTTTTCTTATGCATATTATATGTAAATTAATGTGAGTTTATAAAACTGATGTTTTACCAATAACTGGTTGATATTGAAGTAAACAGAATTTACATGGTTATCGAGTAGACTTAGTTATTTTTGTTGTAAGTTAGTCGTAAGCTGAATGTCGAATGGTAAGTTCGCCGTACACAAGGTTTTTAATCCTAAAATGTACAATTTATAAATCATAAGAATACAGTCTACATTATTGACAAAAATATAGTGTTTTAGTTTTATTTCAAATATTGTAAGCTACCAACCAATAATATTTAATGTGTTACCATACAATTTAATTAATTAACAAAATAATTAATTAATATAAATCAGACAAATTTTGATCTTAAGTAATTACGTTTAAATATCATTGGACTAGCTATATATTCATAAAGATTATTTTTACAATAGTTAGAACAAAAAAATACTTTGGTTGACAAATATTATAATTGAGGACTATCTGTTCTCAAAAATGACCTAATGAAATTCAAAAAATTATAAAATATTTGGAACCTTAACAATTGTAATTATTACAAATAATAGTTTTACTTTATAGAGTAAGATAATTTTTTGAAAGAGATATAATGTCAAACGTTGTGTTAAGTAGTTATATATTCAAGTGCTAATTATAATTTCCCACCTTAATATAAATATTTTTATTTAACCAAATTTAATGTTCGATATTTTTTGGAGTGTTATTTATGAGATTTCATGGAATCTAAAACACTCTATATTTGAGCCTATGAAAAAAACTGATGGTTTGCATCACGTTTTTTATTTTTATCGTTTTAAAAACGTGATTGCATCTGCGGTAATAATAACGAGATGACTTAAATTATCTCTTTATTGTCGTATTTAGTCGAAATGCATTGATAAAAATACATTAAACTAATATTCGTATTAAAATTTAATCAATATAGTAATTTAAACGTCTTAGAAAGTATTATTAGATTTTCAAGTAATATAAAAAACTATTTCTGGGATAAATTATTATTTATAATATTATTTTAAATTAATTAAATTAAGTGTTATTTAAATGTCGGTCAGTGATTATTACTAATAAAATTATTGAAAATACCATTTTACTTTTAAATAAAAATGAATTGATAACACATAAATTTTACTTCAAAAGGAGACGGATTAATGACATTGAATAAATTTTTAACACAAACGCTAAATGTTGTACAAACAATTGAGAGTAAATTAAAAACTATTTATACAAATTATCAGTACCAAGATAATAAGATGTCCAAAAAAAAATTTTTTGAAGCTATAAGAGAAATTGGTCTTGATATCCCAGAGAATATCGCTAATGAAATAATAACTGAAGAACGAGATTTCGACTTTTTAGGTAAAATAAATATTACGTATAATTTTTTATACTTTTAGATTTTGAACTGCCCATATAAGGCCAATGTGATATACTTCAATAAGTTTTCATAACTCCAATATTAATGGTTAGACTGTCGTCGATATGAATAATGGCATTTTAATTTACTGAATTTATTTATAGCCAACTAAATGGAACCATGTGCAATAGATTCCTATATGCTATCAAATTATTATTAAATTTCACTTTTACGACTTAATCTTATTACACCTTAATTTATAATAAGTATTTTTAATTTTACTTGATTTTATAAAATTAATTTTTATTTAATAAAATTATGTATATTATTTTTATTTAAGTAACTTTTAAAATAAATAATTTTATTTGATATACATGATATATTAATAAAATAACTTTTTATTCGTTATCCAAAAAAACAAAGCCATATGGCTAAAATATTTTAAAAAAGTGATTAAAAAAAAATAAAAATAGCAGATATACAGGGTGGCCCACCACTCACTGACAACTTAAATAACTTTTCATCCACTTAATATTTTTAGCTGATTTTTTTTTTAAATAATATTAATACGTTAGGTCTATAGCTATATCTCAATAATTAATTTTTTTACATTTTACTAAAAATATTAATTATTTTTAAATTTTAAATAAAATGTAAAATAAAAATCTAAGATAGCTATTTTGTAGAGTAGAATTTAAGAAAAATTTTAGTAAAAAAATATCTTATTAATATTCAGTAGTAAATATTCTGTAGCGTTTTGAAGTTTGTGAAAATTTGAATTTTCATGTACTATTTTACGGTATTAAACATTGAAATACGTATTGAGAAAAGGACAGAAGAAAACGCTATCTTTTCATGATTACTGTGTATACATATGATGATAATGTGTATACATTACAAACTTGGCATTAATACCATGATAAGAAATTAGATAAGGCAATTATTACTTATCACTCTCATTCAAAAGTATATTGAAAAGATAGCGTTTTCTTCTGTCCTTTTCTCAATACGTATTTCAATGTTTAATACCGTAAAATAGTACATGAAAATTCAAATTTTCACAAACTTCAAAACGCTACAGAATATTTACTACTGAATATTAATAAGATATTTTTTTACTAAAATTTTTCTTAAATTCTACTCTACAAAATAGCTATCTTAGATTTTTATTTTACATTTTATTTAAAATTTAAAAATAATTAATATTTTAATAAAATGTAAAAAAATTAATTATTGAGATATAGCTATAGACCTAACGTATAAATATTAAAAAAAAAAAAATCAGCTAAAAATATTAAGTGGATCAAAAGTTATTTAAATTGTCAGCGAGTGGTGGGCCACCTGTATACACTTATTTTTATTATCATGAATAGTCGTTTTAAATTATTGGGATTATCGAAAAAAATATAGCTGATAATAAGTTATTTTATTAATTTATCAAGATGAATTATTCCAGTATTAAATAAAAAACTTATTTCTAGTTACTTTTAATCAATTAATAATATTTTTGTTTATTTTTTCATAGAATTCAGATACATGTTTGCGAAATTATATCACCAATCACTTAGAATAAACAATATGACTAATCGAACTATTATATTTGTTGAGCCTTTAATGGAAGTCTGAAAAAGTATTTATTTTACCATGATATGTTTTTTTTTTTAAGTCTGTTGCCACTTTTTCTTAGTACTGACCGAACCGATTTATTTCAACCATACGTCAAAATATCACAAATCGTATCTAGTTGAAGACATTATTCTTAAAAATTGAAAAAATTTCCCTCGTCCTCCGTAAATGTGGGAAATTTCCAAAAAAATTACAAATTTAAAAATCGCTGATTTTCGAAATTTTTTTACTTAAAACTGCCATAACTTTTTTAAAAATAAACAAATCAAAAACATTTTTTTTACATAGAAACCTTAGGTATTTCCTTTTTATTGATATACATTTTTTCAAAACCTAACCCTTAACCTGCCCACAAGGGTGGATTTAAAATAACAACTTATTCACAAAAAAAACAATTTTTGCATCTTATTTTTTGAAAATGTTCCGGAAATATTGCGTCTATTTAACATATCTTAAATAAAAGCTTATGTTATGTAATATAAGTAAAAAAAAAAAAAAATTCCTGACGACCTATCTTCTATATGCTAATGTCCATGTAAGTGTAACAAAAAAAAGAATTTAATTTTGTTTTTGGAATAATCCACCAATTTATAAAAATTAAACACTATCTATAGATTTGCACCGGAGCGATTTTTATGATATTGATATTGATGAATGTCAAATATCATCTATACTTAAAATAATTTTTGTCTTTTTTTGTCTATGGTTCAATTAAATCAAATAAAATTAAAATCAATTAAAATATATAAATTATTGTTAAAGCTTTATTGATAATACATTGAATTAGTTTATAATATACTAAAATTTATTACTGTAAATAATTGTTTCGGAAGTAGTCAAGAAAGGTATTACTTTTCTAATAAATATTTTATATAACTGGTTAAAAAGGAAAAATCTATGAACAAATAAAAAGGATCATCATTATTATAATTCAATTTTCAAAAAGAGTGAACCATCATGAGAAAAGTGACCTCTCTTGCAATATAGACAATAATTATGAACAATTTAAAAAATTTTCAATTCTATTAAATGCAAATACAACACTATAACTTCGATAATTGGAGTCCACTTGACTTTCATAAAATGAACTGTAAATGTGATTATGACACGAATAAATATTAATATATAATATTTAAGCTGTACGAAAAATAGATCAATCGAATAAAACTTTAAGTAAGCAAAACATGTTAAAGTATGGAACACAATGACATCTATGAACAATAATTACTTCTAATGACCATCAATCTTCTCAAAATGAAACATATAACATTTATTCTGATGCAAAAAAAGATATATATATATTAGGCTGGTCCTTATTTTTCAACTTTATAATAAATTGTGCGGCACCCCCTAATTTTGTTTATTTTTAGATAATAATGATTTTTGTTGAGTTTCGTAAGATTTACTTACCCCCTTCGGGTGCCGAATGAGGGTTGAAAATCCACTGAATAGGGTGGTTTTTTAGTTTTCGGCTAATATCTCAACAACAAAAGCTCAAAACGAAAAGTTGTATAGAATAAAAATTATAGACCTTAATATTTTCTATATAAATTG